GATAAGCTTCTCTTCTTGTTTCGTTTCCAACCTTTGTGTCTTGTCTTGTTTTGCCTTTTTTTCCCCTTGCCTCCTCTTTGTAGGACCCCCTCGAATATTGGAACAATGCTATCCTACATGCTAACGTGCATGTAGGAAAACAGTGCTCTACTACATACAAGCAATGCACTCTGCCAAAAGACCAAAAAAAAAAAAAAGACAATGGCTGAGTTATATAGGCAGACTGGCAATGTAATAAACTGTAATACCCTAATCCTAACCCTAGCCTCTGTAAAGAATTGTTCTTGGCTCTATCTTCCTAAATTTGTCTTATTTTTATTAATTTGTTTGTTCCTCGCAGGATTTAGCTCTAAGAAATTAGATGTACCCAGCTCTCAAAATAGCCTCACTTGACATACAGCACTGTATAACTCTGGCCCCTTAAAATGAAAGCCATAGAACCAGGGCAGAAAACTCAAAGGCCACCTTATTCAACCTTTTGACAATCCAGGAATCAACTGCTCTGGCAGACAGCCATCCTGACTCTACCTAAAGGTTTTTCATGTAGGGAAGTCCATCTTTTGAGACAGTTTATTACTTTGCCAGTCTTGCCTATATAGCTCAGCCATTCTGTCAATTTTTTTTGTCTTTTAATGACCCTGTAATCCCTTTCACTGGGGTGGAGTTGGGGCAACTGAATGGAGCTGAGTGTTTACTGGCTGGATGCCCTTCCTGTCACCAATGCAGAGTTCACAGCTGATATTTACTCATTGTGCCCAGAGAGATAAATATCTGCTGCTACCTAGGATTGAACTCACAGCCTTCTGATTGTGAGGTGACAGCTCCACCTCTACGCCACTGCACCATTACCTCAGCCATTCTGTTCAATTAGTCAAAATCCCCCCCTTTGTCATTTGAATTCATTTGCTCAGATCCTGTTTTCTGAAACAATAGAAACCTGCCCCTTTAATTATGTGACCGACTTTCAAATATTTGAACATAGTTATCTCTTCCATCTTAATAGCTTTTTTTCCCAGGCTAAATATGCTTCAGCCTTCTCTCATTGTTATTGGGTTTTTCCAGTTTGTTTCCAGTCTGGGTATATTCCAGTTTGTTCACATTCTTTTAAAAATATGGTATCCAGTTTAATTAATGACATAAAGAAAACCACAAACATGCCTGCCTATTAAGCGTCCTATTAAACTACAGGAGAGCCAACAAGCTATGCATCTGTAATCCGTTAGGAGATTGACAGCTTCTTTTTTATACATTCTTAAGCACTTAACAAAACCAGGAAGCTTCTTCATATATCCAAAAACCTCTTGTGGTTTGGTTGATCCTACCTTTTGGGGATTATGGAAGCTGAAGAATGGACTACTATATTATAAGATCTTAAGCTTATGGTGCTCAAGAAGTGCTCAAGAAAATTATTTTCCTAAATGAATATATTATGACATCTTAGTGAAATATCCATTATATGCACAATGGAAACATTTATAATAGTGGGGAGGGGGCCATTGTACAATGGTAGAATATAGACTTCTACAAAGAAGATCCCAGGGTCAATCTTCGGTCACACAATTTCTTTCTTTCTAACCTGCTTTAGTGTTAGATCACTGAAAAACCCAACGAAGGGATGTCTTCTAGGTGATTTAGTTGAAGGGTAAGACCCTAGGGAGGCTATAGACTTCTGAAAAATTTATTGTACAAAATCAGGATACTTACATAATCTTTGACCATAACTAAATAAATGCAGAAACACCACTCTCTACACAGAACATTCTGAAATTCTCTTTTTAAAAACAAATTTAAGTAGGTCTTCTATACCAGGGGTCACCAACTTTTTGGACCTCAGGGACCACCAATTTTAAATCCCGCAGACCAGAGACCCTGAGAAAATCCCCCAAAAAGTCTGCAGGAAAATTCCCCACCCCATTTTCCTACCGATCGATCATTCTTTATTTGGGATCGCAGAATACCATCTCCAACTCCTTTTTCGGGGGGGGGGGGGAGACTTTTGGCTTCATGCAAGGAAAGCAGCAGAAGCAGCAGAAGTCTTTCTTTCCCTCCCCCAAACTCCACCAGAAATGAGTCTTTGCCGCAAAGCCACTAGGAGCAGGATGCCTTGCTGGGTCCCAAAGACTCATTTCTGGCAGAGTTTGGGGGAGAGAAAGAAAGACTTTTGCTGTTTTCTTTGTGGGCAGCCAAAAGCAGAAGAAAGAAGCAGAAAGAAGCAGCCACCGGTGGCCAGGCAAGGCGTGTGAGGCGAGTGGGGCAAGTCCCCCCCCCTGCCCTATCCCCTCACTACCTTGTGTTCGCAATGGAAGCAACGCAAGCTTTGTGTTCCTGCAGGCTATGTGGGTGGCGCAGCCTCATGTTTCCACGCAGCCTGGATTAATTGCTTTGGGGGTGACATTTCCCTGTGGACCACCAAATTTTTCTCACGGACCACCAGAAGTCCCCAGACCACTGGTTGGCGATCACTGTTCTATACTCACCTCTGTGAAATTATGCCTATTTTGCATGGCCTTGACTCTTTTCAGAGCAACTATTCATCTCCAGCCAAAGTAATGTTTTTAAAACTAACACACAATTATGCATCTAATAAGGATATATGTGCCTCAGTGAAATTCAGAATGCAAGGAGCTAATTGAATTCTCCAAACGCCCCCTGTTGGCTAAAAGTGGACATCGATACCATCCAAGATTCATCCACTTCTAAACTCAATTTAAGCTATTAAGGAAACAAGCCACGGTTTATGGGAAAAGGTCAAAAGGCTAAAAATAAATGCAGTTTAAGAGTAATATGGGACAGTAATTATATCTAAATAGTACAGTAATAGAGAAGTTACATCTGAGTCTAAGAATGTGTGCCGCTTAAAGCCACCTCACTCACTTCCCCCCTCCCGTATTCCAAGACGCTCAGAGACATATAAAACTATGCTGGTCAGTTCTATAGGCAGAAATATGCCCTCTGGCTGCCAAAAAGGTATTCTTTATAAATCCTAAAAATCAAGATTTGGGAAAAGAAACCCTTAAAAGTTTGAACGCATTTAGAACTGCAGTGCGACTTTCAGATTAAAATGTAAAAACAAGCCCATTTCTGTCAACTGGGATCTGGTTTCCTCCACACCCCCAGGTTCTTCTCACCTTTCTAAATTCTGAAGTGCTCTCTGGTGCAAGTCATCTTGGGTGCTTTTCAGAGTAGCTGCAAAACAATAAACATTAACACATCAGCATAAGCATTATTCCAAACAGTACATCTGAATAGCTGAGAGCTCTTTATTATTAAAAAGTTATACAAACAGTCTTCCAACAGCATTTCCTTAAGAATGTTATGTCTTATGTTAAGACAAGAATCTTGCTGAAAATATTTCTTGTCTTATTTCTAGTTATTTAGAAACTGATCTCTCTAGTAGTACCAGATATCATTATACACTTTATTTTAAATTCTAAAGACCTTCCAGGGAGTATCAGAAGAAAAATAAAATGTCAGGACTGAGCTAGGGAATATCACCTTTCAATGTGACTCTTCTGCATTTAGGATCTTAAAAAGTCCTCTCTACCATTTTTGATGATGGTTAATTTCAAAAATGTAGGTGGCTCCAAAATCAAGCCAACTTCATGCCCCAAGAGAGGTCTGTAATCTAGATCTCCCCAATCATGGTAAAAGAATCGATCCATTAAATAGGAATAACAGCACTTCTTCTCAGTCTTATCCCATCATCTCAGCCAGGTCTTTTTCAAATGGCCTTTCTCAAAGGTACTGCACACAAGCCAAATGCAGAACCTTCTCTTCTACAACACCTTCTCTGTGAAATCACCTTCTGATGAATGTCACAATGGTAGCCGTGTGATAATAAACAGAAAGCAAATCAAAAGCTTTTGTCTTTTTATTTTAACAAATCAGTAGATTGGGGAGGGGGCATCATATTCTTTCTTTCCTAGTGCCAGGGGCAGGTAGTTATTGGTATTGGTGGTTTAATGATTTTAAAGCTTAATTATTAGTGATTTTATTGTAACAAACTGACTGCAGGATCTTCTGGGTGATATTTTCATCAAAGAATGTGGATAAATGATTCTTCTATTAAGTTGTTCTGAGAATTCTTTGGTAGTTCTATTAGAATATTACTTTATTATTCCAAGTTTTTAGGGCTTAATAAAATATTCAGTGGCTCTGTATTTCCTAAATATATTGGGGTGCACTTAGTGTGCTTAATTATTATTGCTTGAACTACGGCTAACGTAACTTAGCTGGACGCAGAACTTGTCTCCCTAAAACAGGGGTGTCAAACTCGCGGCCGTGGGCCATTTGTCACACGCTGGCCACGCTGGCCCATTTTAGCGAAGGGGGAAAAAGTTGTGATATGTCACATGACGACATGTCATCGTGAGTTTGACACCCCTGCCCTAAAACATTAACTTCACTTTTTCTAATGTATCAACCATTTTCCAGAGACAGATTTCAAAAAGACTCTAGCATTTCTGCATAATCATCTGTTCAAAGCTCTTGGAAGGCTGCCTGAAAATGAAAGCCAAGGGACTGCACCTGCTGTCTCCTTGATGTAGAAGACGTGTCAAGAGTCTCCTCTTGAGAAAGAAGGGACAAAACTTTGCCAAAGGGTCAAAGAGTACAAATGTCCTCTGGGGATGACATAAACTCTTTTGGGATAGACTGTGGCTCGTGGCCAGGGCATAAATGAGCAATGACAGAGGTTGGTTGAATGGCATCTTTGCTCGTTCTTCTGCTCTCCTGAAGCTCCAGCTAAATCAGCTCAAGTTTCACATGGTATCATCCCAACCTCTACCACATAGGAAGCAAAAAATAAATTAAGGAAGTTAGAACTAAAGCCGCAAGTGCAATTATGTCAGTGATATCAAGTAGGGCAAGAGGAAAATGCAGATGTCTTTCTGTAGACAGTTGGGCAATTTGGGAGATGAAGAAGCAATTAAGAAGGAAGAAAAGAATAAAGGTGTATTGCAAATGTTTATTGGTACCTTGTGTCAAATTGAATTTCAGTGGGTCATTTTTTTAGATACTAGAGATTATCCATTATTTTGTTAAGTGTCTTCTTTTCCTCTGGCTTTATCTGTAACTTAATTTACAGGAGTTAGGCAAAGGCTCTTCGCTTACTTCTGTCTTCATGCTAAGATAAATTTCATCTATTATCTAAAAGATTTCATCCCTTGAGGTACTAAAGAACAGGAACTGTGTCAATAAACACAAATATCTCTATATTTGTCTATCAACCAGGCCCAGAATGAATGCAACATTAACATTACAAAAGTGTGATTAAATACAGGTAGTCACAATTGAGTCCAAAATTTCTGTTGTTAAGTGAGACATTTGTTAAGTGCCCTAGTTGTCACAGTTGATAAATGAATCACTGCAGTTGGTAAGTTAGTAACCCAGTTGTTAAGTGAATCTGGCTTTCTCATTGACTTTGCTTGTCAGAAGGTCACAAAAGGGGATCGATCACCTGACCTTGGGGCACAGCAACAGTCATAAATATGTTATAAATAAGTTGCCAGGCACCTGAATTTTGATCACATGATCATGGGGATGTTGCAAATGTCGTATCTGTGAAAAATGGCCATAAGCAGAGGTGGGATTCTACCAATTCGCACCTATTCTCTAGAACCGGTTGTTAACATTCTAAGCAGTTCGGAGAACCGGTTGTTAGAAGAAATTACTGGCCTAATCCTGTATGGAAGGCAGGAAGGAAACATTCCTGTCTCAGGAACTTCTCTAGAGTTTTTTCCCCCTCCTTTGCTGGTACTTTGCTTGTGTGGAGTGACCATTCAAAGTTACAATGGCACTGAAAAAAGTAACTTATGATCATTTTTCATACTTACAACTGTTACAGCATCCCCACAGTCATGAGAGGCCAGGCGAGGAGATGCGTGCCTCAATGTGAGTGATATTGAGTTGGTTGTGCCCAGCCAATAACATGACCACCAAGCCACGCCCACCAACAAACCACGCCCACAGAACCGGTTGTTCAAAATTTTGAATCTTGTTCCTGGCCATAAGTCACATTTTTCAATGCTGTTGTAACTTTGATTGATCGCTAAATGAATTGTTGTAAGTTGAGGACTACCTGTATAGGATCACAATGCTGTTTTCCCCCCCGTTCCTCTTTTCCTATCGCTGGTAGATAATAATGTGGCTATTGTTCATATTAATTACAGAAGATTCAGAGATATTTCTTAATTCTGTTTCAAAATACAGGTTTTCTCTTTTGATCGTGGCCCTATCCTCACTCACTGCTCAATTACTCACTGCTCAATTACGTAATGGCCCCTATAGATAAGCCCTTGGAAACGACCTTATGGCTGTTATTGAAATAAGAACTCCTGGGCAGAAGTAGGTCAAATGGTTCCTCACATCTTGTCATTCATTTAGTGTGCACATCACAAGATAAATCTGCATTCCATCAGTAAATTATCTTAGTTTTAGAGATGTTAATAATAAAATAACAATAATCAAACCAAATGACATGTTTTTCAACATGCAGATTTTTTTGTTGCAATTTCACTTCATACATGTTTATTTCGACACATGTATATATATAAAAACTAAAGCCTATTTTACTTCTCTGGCAGTTGTAATCATAACACACATGTGATAAAAAAACATATTTAAAACATGGTCTATAAAATAATGGAAAGTATTCTATCAATGCAAGCTGGGATTTTCAGCTTAAGTTTATGTTGCACATGGCTTCATAGCTCTAGTGTGTAAAATTTAAAATTGTGTACAATATTCGTGTTTTTTCCCACCAAAATAATCTTTTGGCTTTTGCAAGTAAGCACTACAGAATCTGACAGACTTTAATATTAAAGGAGTTACCACTCTGTATTTTGTTGACCAATTTGGTATCCTCAGGATGTTCTATGAGATAAACTGGTAATTCAAGAATTGTAGGCCCAGTAAAGACACCAAATCAAGGAAATAATAACTCCAGAGACTCAAACCAATAATTTCAAAGAGTAAGCAAAGACGTTTTAATTAAATACTAAGAGCTTCCTGATGGTACCAATAACGGAACATTCTATTTAGATAATAGTGGAATCTCCTTCACTGCTTATTTTGAAGCATCTGGGTAGCCATCATGGATTCAATAGAATCTGTTGCATTTGAAAAGTGATGGATTATATAATTGCTAATCTTTCCAATTCTGTATTCTTCAATGTAAGATTATTGTGGGATCATTTATACTGTATAACAACAAGGTTCCCATAGTTATCTGTGCAACCGTGGTAATGTCTATGCAGACTCTCAATCATCCAGGTCATGGTTATCATAAAGGTACTTTCCAAAAGGCAACTGTATTTTGCTTTTTCTTGAAGACATTTCATTTCTCACCCAAGAAGCTTCTTCAGTTCTGAAGAAGTATCTTGGATGAGAAGGGAAACGTCTTCAGGAAAAAAACGAAGAAAGTCTAGTTGCCTTTTGGAAAGCACCTTTGGGACTGGCAAGTAATGATATACCCTTTGTTCATGTGATCAGAGATGAGTTTTGGTGCTTGATTACCAGTGAGATAAGATACTTTTAAAAATACAAATTATAATAAAAAATGGGTTACTTGGGTTGCAAGATCATTTTTTGGTAACATAAGCCAGAAGCAGAATTTTTACTTCAATAAAGAGTTAAATGCAACTATTTTCCACGACTGGTTGAATTTTAAACAATTCTTCCATTTCATTTTTCCAGCTTTCATTATCACAGTATTTGACCTGTAAATTGAAATTGAAGCGCAGGAGACAGCAACAAGATAGCTGGAGGTATGATAAAAATTGGACTATGTTTAGCCTGGAAAAAAAGTGACTGAGGGGGAAGATAAAGGAAGTTTTTTAATAGTAGAAAAGCAGAAAAAAATGCTAGAAGAATATGAAAAAAAGGTAATGACTTTTATCTCTGCTGATCTGAGGCCAGGATTATATCAAATACATATTGGCACAAGAGGAGAAATTTCAGTTAAAGATTGATGAAACTTATTATCTAAGTGATAGAACCAATTTACCAGAAAGAGGGCAGGACTTATTTGTTAAATTTAATAGGCTAAATGAGTCACATTTTGGCAGTAGAGTATGGCATTTCAGTCCTGCTCTGCTTCAAAGAGATGATCCATCTAAAGTCTCGATTGAGCAGTTATAATACATTTAATGAAATTGATGCATAAAATCAAATAACCTCAATGTCCACATCAGTTTTTTAATTTCATAAACAATGGAAGTTAGAACTAATCACCAGTGATTGTTTACAACAATAGAAACAGAGTGAAAGTGTGTTGGAATATCCGGATGTTGGACAGAAGCTCACCCATGTTCAGGTGAAAGGAATTAGCTTCATCACTTATTTATAATCAGCAAGAGACATTTTCTTTTGTTTTTTATATCGGTTTAGTTAGATTATGTCACATCCACTTTTAGCTGCTTTAGAAACAGAAAGGCATAATGAAAGATTGGCATCAATAAAACGAATAGATTTTGTGAATAGATGTTGGCAACTTATTGCTGGACCAGACAACTATGCACCTACAAGGTAGTTCTTCCATTTAAATATTCTTAAACTTTTAATATTTAAATGCTTAAACTGACTTCTTTAAACAATAGCTGTTCAGATCATATTTGACAAATCAAAAGATTACCATCAGTTGCTTGCAGGCTGTATGTCAGGCCTAATGCTAAAAAACCCTTTGCTAGGAATTCTCCAGCGTCTTCTCCCATGCCAACAACCATCTTGGCGAAACGTTCTCCTTCCTCCAGCTAAATTGATTAGAAAAAGGGAGAAACATTACAAGAAATATCCTTTGCGACATCTTTATAGAATATTTACTTCTTTAGAATGAATTCAAGATTAACAATCATCAGAACTCACGGCTATGAGATGGTGCTATGCTTCCAGTGAATTTGGAAGACCAGACTTCTAAATCTCAGTGCATGACAAAAAGCTAATTTTCCCAACATGGTGCCTAGCTGCAACACATTTGGAACCAGGAAAAGTGTACGTGTCAACTATAAAACATTGTACGTAGTACGATTATTAGTGAAAGGTTTAGCACTAATGCTGGCTCTGGACTTTGGGAATAAGAATATGTCAAGTATGTCACTTCTACCACTGTTAAAACTATTGGTATTGCTTGTGTTTCATGCATATGGCAGCCTGTTGCTTTGGCAGGTGGAGAATCAATGGGCAAAAGACAGGTGCTGTTGCTTCCCAATTCTTAGTTTTCTTATTCTGTCCACTTTTGGACCAAAAGATGTGGGGTGGAGGGTAAGAGAAAAGCAATGGTGAAGAGACAGAAACTTTTGACTATAGATTCATTACTGGGGCACAGATCTTGGCCCATGCAAGCCATGCAAATCATAGAAACATAGACATTTACGGAATTGGAGACAGATAAAACCAGTGCGGAGGTAGAGAGACCCAGAAATGAATTAATAGAGACAAGAAGAAAGGCGGGGTGGGGAAATGGGGCAGATTGTTATTTAGGATTTACTGAATTTAGTCCATGGGCCACATAGTATGACATTCAACCTCCTCATAACTTCCAGAGAGGCAACTATAAAAACCAAGCAGTACAGCAGGCTGATGGTTTTAGGCTGATGGGCCACATTAAACCAGTCAGCAGGATGATGAGGAAGAAGAGGTAGAGGAGATTTATAGGTTGCCCAACTCCAGAATTAATCTGGGTGGCAGTTGAAATAGAGAAAACAATAAAAATAAAATCTTACACATCCAGACAATTGCACCATCTACTCAAATTCTTGCAAGTGAAAAGGGCTACCACAAGGCCTGGGAGAACAGCCAAGTTTTTAAAGATTTCTGGAACACTGTCTGGCCAAATGAATCTTTGGGATGGGGTAACATTTCAATGGGCAGGTGCTGCAAAAAAGAAGTTAGGTGGTCCCTCAAACAACCGAGCCTTAATAATGATTAAATTGATGATTAACTTACAAGCAGAAAGGGCAGAGTCTTAAAAGAGCACATTTATGGATCTTCCAAAGTTACTATTGATCTGGGCAATATGCTAACCTTGTTTCAAACCCTATAGAAAGCATTATATAGAAACCACTGGTTAAATCTAATATCTTACCAGTAGCCTACTGGAAGGAAAGGGGAAGAGACAGCGAAAAAGGGAAAGGTGGTGTCTGAAACAAAAGAAGTGACAGAGAAACGGGAAGGTGGATGGTAGAGACAGAGAAAAGTGTTGTTCACTCAAAAGTTTCACCTTTCTCATCACTAGTTTGCTGGCCCCGAAGCAATAGCACTTAGACTTATATACTGCTTTACAGTGTTTCTAGCCCTCTGTAAGCAGTTTACAGAGTCAGCATATTGCCCCCAACAATTTTGGGTCCTCATTTTACCCACTTCAGAAGGAGGGAAGGCTGAGTCAACCTTGAGATATGAACTGCCAAATTGCAGGCAGCTAGCAGCCAGCAGAAGTGGCCTGCAGTACTGCACTCTGACCAATGTGCCACTGTAGCTCATGCCCCTAATATACTGTAGTTTCAATATGAGATGAAATTATGCAGATAGGAGGTACAATTTACCTCCTATAGATCAGATATCAGGTCTTTGGTATCAATTATTAACTGTGTCAGGTGTGATAGCCTTATGAAAATATGGACCACCTTTAGATGACAATGACAAGATATGGAAAACATTATCTTGCTGTCATTCAGTCTTTTGCAGCTCAGATTCAGTACAATAAATTTTAGCTGTAGGAGCCCAAATAGGTAGTGCAACCTGTTAGGTTCTACTTTTTAGAGATTTTGATTAGTGACTCAGAGTTTTTAAAAATGGGTTAACCTGAAACTAAATCAGGTCAGACACAAATATTTTAAAAGCTACAGTATATTAGGGACATAAATCTCTCTGCAGACATGACTTCAATTGAAAGAAGCCATTTTTCTCTCTCTCAGTTAGTGTCCTGCCAATTGCAGTATGAGGAATAATTAGAATAATGGAGGATTACTAAGCATCTCTTTTTCAAAGAAACATCTATAAGTACTTTTAGATTTTCTAAGTAATAATAGGGTATGTGCCCAAATAATAATGCTTACTAATGAAAACTATCATAGGCTCCTAACCAAATATTTCCTTGACATTCTCTATGAGACAGAAAGGGAGAGCAATGATGTTTGTAAGGGAAATTATTAGCGATAGGAAGATACCGTGGTACTTGTGACCAAACATTTGTGAAACAGAATTGGTTATTGCTTGTTTTCCCAGAAGAATTGGAGGCAGAGCAGAATTGCTTCCATCACCATCAACAGTGGCATTAATAGAAGAGAGACAGACAGCATGATTTTTCAGAACACTAAACTAGAACATTCTGGGACAAGAACAAAGGACCTAAAAAGATCAGCTACCTCCAAAGATTCCTCAGCTATCAGAAATAACAAGGAAAAATATGGCTTCCAACTCTCTCCTGCATTGAAGAGAGAAACACACTCAGCAAGATATGCCAACAAACTATGTTCAGCCATTGTAAAATATAATAATCTGTGTTTCCCACTGCCATCATCTTTGGTGAAAACCTCATTTTGTTAGTAGCCTACTGCTTGAGGCAGAGGGAGGCTTTTTCCAGCTAACCATATTATTTTATTGCAGGTTTTTGAATGTATGATTGAACTAAGCCTACAGGCACACTGATAAGGAATAGGAACAGCAGGTGTTATCCCCTGGCAAGAGGCTGCCCAGCTGGTGTCCAGCTGGCACATCTTGGCATGTTGTTTCTTTCTGTTGTGTTTTCCCCACCCACACCTTTCCTTTAGGAGAACAAGGTCATGCATTTTAAATTATACTCCTTATATCTAAAAAGTAACAAGCAAACAGTGTGCATTTTCACCCAAGAGTAATTTAATACTGCAAGGAAAAAGTAGGTGGCAGTTAGGAGCATTAGCATGATATCTTCTTTTTTAAGGACATAAATATTTCTTAAAATTAGATCAATCAGGTGGGAGATTTTAAAAAGGAGGTAAAAAGTGAAAATAGTTCTGTTAACTGCACAATTCTAGAGGTTTAGCAATAGAAAACCAAAGACATTTTAATCTCATCCACTCCCACAGTCTCTGCCATGCCAAGAGATTCATGAAGAACAGTTTATATATTATGTAGCAGCAAATCCCAAATCCATCACAGGTTTTTTTTAAAGCATCTGCTTGCCTATTCTTTGATATTTTTGGATGTACACTTTAAAAAATCTCTGCAGTAGATACCTAAAAATGTAAAGCTTTATGTAATTTTAATTTTAATTCCAAAAAAATATTGGAAGTTTTTCCATGGAAGTCCCACCATAAAAACAAGCTTTATAATTTCCAATATAACATGAATATAAAGTTCTAAATATTTTAAAACTTTATGATTGAGAATTAGTTTTGTTTTTTAATATTCATGCTTAATTCAAATTAGGTCCTTCTGTGAACTCCTGCACACTACAATGCTCCTATGGGCACCACTAGGACTGCAGTGCGGTTTTCATTGCAGAGCGATATCAAGTAATGATTTCCATGCTGTCATACATTAATGCAGGTTGCAAGATTTGTAAAACAGATATTGGCTTTCACATATGTATCACTTGCTTGATTACGAGACTCTGATATAAAAATGGTCCCCTTACCCAAATGAGCATTGGAATGTATTTCCAAGTATGAATAAGATCTGCCCTGCATTATTTTTAACATCCTTTCAAACTTCTAAAGCTCTTGTAGTCACAGCATATCTGGATATTTAAAATCCAGAAAGTTTTATTGCAAAAAGAAGAATAGAATAGAATAGAATAGAATAGAATAGAATAGAATAGAATAGAATAGAAGCTGGGAGGGACCTTGGAGGTCTCCTAGTCCAGGCCCCCTGCTCAAGCATTTTACCATTTCAGATCAGTGACTATTTAGTCTCTCCTTTAAAAAGCTCCAGTGATGGAGTGCCCCGATTTCTGAAGGCAAGCTGGTTAATTGTCTTCACTGCCAGGAAGTTTCTCCTTAATTCCAGATTGCTCTTTGATTAGTTTCCAACCATTGTTTCTTTGTCCTGCCCCCTGGTGCTCTGTAGAATAATTTGACCCTCTCTTCTTTGTGGCAGCCCCTGAAATACTGGAATACTGATATCATGTCACCCCTAATAATTCTTCTTTTCTTTAGACTAGCTGAACCCTAAACCTGCAGCTGTTCTTCATATGGTTTAGTCTCCAGGCCTTTGATCATCTTAGTTGCTCTTCTCTGGACTTTTTTTTCAAAGTCTCAACATCTTTTTTGTAGTATGGTGACCAAATTCGGTTGCAGTATTCCAGGTGTGGACTTACTAGGGTTTTATAAAGTAGCACTAATATTTCATGTGATCTTGATTCTATGCCTGTTTATACAATCCAGGATTGTATCAGCTTTTTTGGCTGCTACTGCACACTGCTGGCTCATATTCAAATGATCATCCACTAGGACTTCAAGGTGCCTCTCACAGTTACTGTCTTTGAGCCAGGTTTCGCCTAATCTGTACTTATACCTTTGATTTTTCCTGCCTAAACGTAAAACTTTTCTTTTCGCCACATTAAAATTCATTTTGTTGGATAGGGCCTATTGTTCAAGTTTGTCAAGATCTTTTTGGATCCTGAGCTTGGAATAAAGAGAAGCCAAATATCTGTGGACGTATATACATTGCAAAGACAACCAAGAAGAGATTCCATGATGTAGCTTATTGAGTGCCTTAGAAAGGCAACTCAAACCTGTTTTCTTTGAGCATAATTTTAATAAAAATGGTCAATAATTGGTTAGCCTTTTCACTGGATATGTCCAAGGAGATTTCAACCATCCAGCTCATGGTTGTCCCAAAGGTGCTTTTTTCAAAAGGCAATTGGACCTTGTTGGGTTTTTTCCTTGAAACATTTCACTTCTCATTCAAGAAACTTCTTCAGCTCAACACTGAAGAAACTTCTTATATGAAAAGTGAAACATTATCAAACAAAAATCCAAGAAAGACCAGATGCCTTTTGGAAAAATCACCTTTGGGATTTTCACTGGATACTTTCTGAATTTGCTTTTCTGTTCCTGTCATTTGTTGTGGGTTGATTTAATATTAAATCTGTGGTAAGCCATGGTCAGGGCCTAATTTCAGGTGGAAAGCACAATATAAATAATTTTCCAGAAAAGAAATAAATGCCTTGAGGATTCCATTAGACTAATGATTACAAAAAGACACTTATCCAAACAAGACATGTAATTAGAGTGTAGATCTCATTTAATATCTACAAGTAGCATAGATATAACTAAACCTGGACATCACTAATAGTATAAGTTCTACAAGTTTAGAGCTAAATCCAATAGAGCCAGAATCATAAACTAAACATTAAAAGCCCCTTCTATAAATTTATCCTATTGTGCACAGATGTTTACTTAGTGACAGTTGCATAAATCAAGGTACCAGTGCAATTGAATAAATAATTCATTCACCACATTATTAAATGTAGATTTTTAAAGAACCTGAGAGCTTTATGTTTAGTTTCTCAAAAAAAATATGCACAGATCAAACTGATGGGGATTGACCAAACCAGTGATGGGATTCAATTTTTTTTTTTACTACCAGTTCTGTGGGCATGTCTTGCTGGGCAGGTCGGGGGAAAGATACTGTAAAATCTCCAGTCAGAGGTGGTATTTGCCAGTTCTCCAAACTACTCAAAATTTCCCTTACAGGTTCTCCAGAACTGGTCAGAACCTGCTGAATACCACCTCTGGACCAAACCATATCTCGAGAACTTTCTGTGGTGTTCTGATTGCTTGAAAGGGCTAATTTTGTGAAGAAAGGAGAAAAGAACGGAAGCATTACATGGAATAGAATATGTTGGACTGGAAGTAATCTCCAATTCAAAAATTAGAGCTACTATCTCACTGTTCTAAAAGTTTAAAGTTGGAGACTAGATATGTTTGCATTAAGAATGAATTCTCCCACCTTGCCAGACATACAATTCAAATCCAGCATTATAAACTATACTAAATAGCTATTATTCTTGGAATAAACCATTTCTCTGTGCTGATCAGTCAACAGAATGTGAGGTCTTATTAAGTGCCCTCAAGGTTTGCCACCTACATAACTTATACTGAACTATTTTATTACAATCTGTTAATTATATACTCAATGAATTAAAAGGATGAATTAATCAACCTCAAGTATTTAGTAATCATCTATTTTCCTTCTCAGCAGGTTATTCTTCTGATTTCATTTAATATTTCCAACAATATTTTATTGTTCCTCCTGTTGGAGCAGATGGGTGAGGTTGCAGCCTTTTGGTAACAGCAAGCTCTATAGGCCTGGTATTTGATCTGCAAGGCAACAATTTCTCCCACTTGGCCTCTTATTATGACTAATGCTACATATTAATGAGATTGAAATGCGCAGTAATAATAACATCACCAGTAACATGAACTTTTCTTCACAACAAGAAGTTCCATCAAAAAATGAGCCATCTGTAATTAATATTGATAGAATACCTTATTTCTGTTTTCCCTTTTCAATACTCTTAAGTTAACTAAATATTAGAAGGTCAATAATTTAAACTATATTATATAAATATCACTTATTGAAATTTTCAAAAAGAGCCATCTGCTGGTAGGAATAAAACCAGTTTTCTCCAGACAGCTGTCATATCTGTACTGTATTTATTTGAGAAAAAAAAATCCCATTGTATTCTATGCAATTTCTTGCTAAGTCAACATGCATGCACCACATAATATTGGTGTAGTAATTAAGAGATAATTCATTATTGCATTGGGGAAATCAATCTGAAGAAGCAATTAAGACTCTGGTTTAAGGCAAGTCTCTCTCTCTTTTTTTCTCTTACCTCCCCCCCTACAAAATAACAGAGAAGCCCATGTCAGAGACTTCTTTCAACAAGTCAGGTCAGTTCCATATAATTGTGCAGCTCTTCTTGCTTTACTCCCTCATCTTCCTTCTGTCTCTTCCTCTCTTTAAACAACATTTGAGTGTGGCTGTTAATGTGGCACTTAATGCATTATGTAAGAAGCACTGCGCCAGCTTGCTTACCCAGTGCAGAGGTCCAATGCAGACCTTGGCGGCCAGGAGAGGGACGGTGGGATCCGCAGGACGTAGCTTTGCACATTCTCTAAGCACCGAGACAGCATGAGCAGACTGAACAAGGGAGGAAGGAGAAACAAGAGAGGAGAAGGATAAGATGGTTGGACAATGCTCAATAAGATGCACAAGAGGTTATTTATGCCAGATGCTTCTTCTTCCAGAGGGCGCGTTTCTTGTTACCTGAATATTGAGACTTAGATTGGCTCTCAAAGTACATCTTTTGTTTTTGAAGTCTTGACTCCCACAGATCAGTGGGTGTTCAGATCAGGTATGGTTTTTGAAAAGCATGTTCTGCATCTATTCAGTGTTAACTCTGTATTATATTATTAGGTCTGTTTTACAGCAGGCCCCTAACAAAGGAAGAGCTTCAATTGTATGGAAAAGCAGTGGCAATAGGTAGGATTTCTGCAATATCAGTAATATGTACAACAGTATTTGTGCAAATGTAAATACAGGTAGTCCTCGACTTACAATAGTTCACTTAGTGACCGTTCAAAGTTACAATGAAGATACACTGGAAATAGTGACTTATGAAACATTTTCACATTTATGACACTGCAGCATCCCCATGGTCACGTGATTTAGATTTGGATGCTTGACAACTGTCTCACATTTATGACGGTTGCAGTGTCCTGGGATCATGTGATCACCTTTTGCAACTTTCTGACAAGCAAAGTCAATAATGAAACCGCTTAACAACCGTTTTACTAATTTAACAACTGCAGTGATTCACTTAACAAACGTGACAAGAAAAATCATCGAATGGGGCAAAATTCACTTCGCAAACTTCTCACTTAACAACATACATTTCAGGCTCAATTGTGATCGTAAGTTGAGGACTTACTATATTGAGAATGAAACAACAGATAGGTATCCTTACAACCTAGAGCTAAAAAATAAAGTGGTATTTGGGTCCTACACTAGTGTTTCTCAGCCTTGGTAACTTTGATGAATGAATGAATTCTTTATTGACCAAGTGTGATTAGACACACAAGGAATTTGTCTTGGTGCATATGCTCTCAATGTAAGATGTGTGGATTTCAATTCCCAGAATTCCTCATCTAACATGCTGCCTGGGGAATTCTGGGAGTTAAAGTCCACACATTTTGAAGTTGCCATGGTTGAGAAACACTGTCCTGGACCCTCCAGACACTGCTAAACACTCAAGAAAGAGAAATGTGACCTATAGCGGTACCCACAACATATGGTTAATAAGTCAAGATGGTGGCTGTGATGATGGAATCCAAGCTCCACCTGGGGTTTCTTTTTATGTGAATTGTGATGAGAAGATAAGAAACAGTTCAGGTTTAATTGCACCACCGCAGCACTGCCATATATGCTTGTTTGATCATATCCTGAGGATATCCCAGTGGTCTACTTACACATTCTCCAAGTAATGTACAATATCCACACAATGTACAATATTAACACACCCACACAGTTCGCTTTTCAAGCTAGGTAAAATATTCAGTGTCAAAGCCTTTGCAGCATGACTGCTATTATGAGACAACCCAGGAGCAAAACACAGCACACAGAGACTTAGACATTTAGCAGTGAACAGTGGTTTATATACAGCAGTTATATATAGACATATACGTAGCAGGCAAAACACTTTACAAGCAATCTTTCTTCTTCTTAACTTTTACACTGAGACTTCTGCAATGAGTACCGGACACAAGGAGAGAGAACATGCCCTCTAATGGCTGCTTTATATAAAAACCTCTTAAAAGGGTAGAACCCATCCCTAGTCTTACAGGGAAATACCCATACTATGCTGATTCATCCTTATTTCATCAGCTTATATACCACCAGCTTCACTGCTGGTCGGCTCTTAAATCCCAAGACCTTAACATTCAGACCAGTTCCTCTCTTATTGGATGCAACAACAGTCTGCCAAATATTTTTTTTTTCTAAAGTAAGAAGTCCTCTTTCATTTGTAGTCATGAATTCATAGTATTGATTTCTCAATACTAGAGATGAGAGGATGAAGTCATAAGTGAAAAGCAGCAAGTAAAGGGACCGGACAACCTTTAAAACTCTTGACAGTGAAGCTCAAGAAAGATGTCACTGTGAACTTTATGGCAAAAAATTACTTGGCACAAAGGACCACATACAAAATGGTGTCCTATCTTTCCCAGTTCAAAAAAAAAAACCAGACTCTTGGAGATTTATACTGTATACCAGAGAATATCAAAAATTTTGCACTATGTACCAGTAAATGTCATAAACATTTATCAGCATGTCTTAACAAAAACTATTGATTCCAAACAAGCAAAATTACTGCTATTATAATGATGTTTATTTTTTGTTAACCACTCAATCACCAAAGCAATTGTAAGACTAAACAAGAAAATAAAGATTAAAAACAGAAATACAACAATGAATGAAATAGATATACGGGACCATGTCAAGGAACAAAATTAGCATTTAAAAAGCAATCTCCATGGAGTTTATAAATCACTCTTTCCCAGCTCCTACCAGAGAAGCTAAAAGTCATTAGGGTAAGGGCTGTATGGATTAAAGGAGGGCTGCTATTCCAAAGAACAGGGGCACATACACACAGACACACACACATATATACATATACATATACATATAGGATTCTACAAAGTAATTAGGATCTGATCCACAGTAATCCTGCTGGATCTTACTGACTGGCCATACACCACTGGAGAAAGGCAGTCCCATAGCTAATCAAAACCCCAGCCATACACTGCTTTATAGATGAATACTAGTACCTTGAACTACACCTGGAATGAAATGGTAACCATTGTAACTCATGAAGTAGAAGTATTGCATGTGTAAACTAAGGTATGTCCAAAACTATTCATATTACTGCGTTTTGGATGACATATAGCTTCTAACTGGTCGTCAAGAACAGTACAGTATATTGCAATAATTTAAAAAATGGCTAAACCATGAGAAAGGTGTCCGAATCCAAAGAAGAGCATAACTGGCAGACTGAATGTATTTGTGCAAATGTCATCCCGGCAACACTTCCAGTTGCTCTTCAAGCCATTACTGAAAATCCAGGAGAACCCTCACTGACAGCAGGATTCTTTCTAGTTAGTCTTGCTAGAGTTGAGCCCAAGTCTGTTTCTCCCATCCAGACCCAAAGAGCCTCCAGGTACAGGGACAGGGCCCTGACAATTTCACCTCTTCAACCTGGTCTTGATATACAGTTGTGTATCATCTGCATATTGATGATACTTGAATAAGTGCTATCTACCAACCTTACATATCGTAGATATTAAATAGGATTGGGGAGAATGTTAAGCAATGAGAAATCCACAAAGCAAGGGCCCTTGGGCTTAAAGTCTCCCCCCCAACATCACCTAAAACTAATCCTGATGGAAGAGAACCAGCATCCCCTAACTCCCAGAGTTTGGTCAAAAGGATAGCATGACCAATGACATTAAAAGCTGCTAAATTATCAAGTACAACCAGAGGAATCACACCATATCTACCCTGGTCCTAGCAAAGGTCAAGTACAAATACTGCTGCTTTGACATTGTATTCAGGGCTGAATCCTCACTGAAAAAGAGAGGTTGGAAACTGCTCAAAACATATCTAGTGCTGCTGGGTAAAGCAATTCCTTCTTAAGGTATTGTGCTGCTTCTAACAAGGCAAGGTAAACCACCTCCACTTTCACATGAGGGAAGAGTTTACCACCATGCAAACCCAAGTGCTACCTCCAGATGATGACCCTAATTCTGAGGAGTTTCTCAAAACTCACAAACTTTTTACAAGTAATCAAGCAAGACTACTGTGGCCAAGTCAGTAGGACCTATCCAGTTGAAGTCCAGCTCAGAGTAGCTCTTGGTGATTTTGTTCATCAGATCTGTAGAATATTCTTCACAGTGGTCCTTAAGATATTTTTCCTCCTCTAAAAGGGTCTAGGCAATATTGTGTTGTCTCTATACAGAAGAGGGATGAATAAATTATGTGCCATGTGGTACTTCTTAGTCCTGAATGGGTTGAAATCAGATCATGGTTTCATATTATCCAGTTATGAATGCCATCTGCCTGCCTAGGCTGCTTTCCAAGTTTCAAGTTCAGACATTCACAATTCATATCCCCAAGAAGGAGAGCAGCCCCTTATTTGTGTCCTAGAGCTAGTAAGAATCTGGAAAGTTGGCATCAGCAGATAAACAGACCAATAACTGCATTTAAATATCCAGCCATTTAATTTACTTAACATACTTAATGATTCTCAAATGGGTCCTGAGGTTTACCTGGAATTTTGACTAAATCCCTATAGTGTATCTACTGTAAGCATAAACCAAAATGTTATTATATCTATATTATATCAAAAGATTGCTAAAAGTTAAAAGATTTTAGCTTTTTAAATTGGGTCCCAAGAATATTAAAGAATATATCTATAAATGGTACATTTACAGATACAAACATATCCAGGACAAACTACAGGAATGCATGGGTTTCCCTTTGTACACTTGAGTTAGTCTTGTGTGTCCATCCCCTTGGTTGGATTAATGTGCTCTCAACGTTCTGCTTTGAGTGTCTATAAATCCTGTTCTGATTTGCTGACAGATGGTGATGTCCTAATTTAGAATATGCCTTCTTAGAATATGATAAGTAAAGCTACTAGTTAAACCTGTAAGCGTTGCTATCTTCCCACTTTCTTAACAGTCCCAGCAATAGGAAACCATCTATCAATCCTGATATTACCATGCATTATTAATAGTTTTCCCACCTCGCTTTTTTAAGGATCATAAAAAGCAAGATAGAAATAAAATTGACTCATTTGAGCTCTGGTGCTGGAGAAGGCTGGTGCTGTATATTCCTTGGATAGCAAAGATGACTAACAAACAAGTACTGGAGCACATAACATCAGACGTGTCACTAGAAGACAAAATCACAAAACTGACTCTCATTTACCTTGGCCATGTCATGCAGGGGAATTCACTGGAGAAAGCAATTATGTTTGGAAGAGTTAGCAGTAAAAGGGAACCAGGCCGTGACGGTGGCTGTACACCATCGAAGCGGACACCAGCCAGAGTACAGAAAAAGTCAAAGTAGTACTGCAAGATCAG